AGTAGACTTTGTTTGAGAAAATATAAGAAATTTTAATTTAAAAGTAAAATTAGTGATATAGATTTATAATAAATAATTTGTTTGCAGTAGTGTGGGTTAAGAAGTTAAGAATTCTCAAAAAGTTTAGAATATTTATCGCAGAATTATCATCTACATTATTAGTAAAATTTAAGCCATCATTGATTTATTATACATTGATAAAAATTTATCTAGGAATATATCCAAATTTATATTTACAACTTTTTAATAGGCTTCCAAACCTATTAAGAACAGATTTAAATTTAAATTAGGTGTATTTATTTCTTAATGAATATTTCAAAACTTGTCAGTAAATTGCGTTTAATACCTCTAGTATCCAATCGGATGTAAATATATTATCTTAAGTCTTCCGGAGTCACAATATATACGTCCATATCGAAATAGAGATCTGTCATAAGACATATCAAATAAATATAAAAAGATGTTTACTTACATTTAATATTACATTAATATTATTTTAACTTCCCTTAAATTTCAGATAATGTTAGAAAAAGAAACTCTTATAAATAAATTTCAAAAGTTTAAAACAACATATCAAAAATTTATTTGACACATATTATTTAAACAAAATTGTAAACCACATGGATATTAAATTACAGATTCATTAAAATGTTATTTACTAATGCAAGCAAGATAAACTGGCTATAAACATTTCTGTGTATCCATTCTCAAATGTTTTACCCATTAGGTGTTGACATGCTTCGGATATCATGCATCACGACAAAAAAAAAATGTATTTTTAATATATAAACTAATTTATGGCTTAAAGGTAATATTATAAATTTAATCATGTCTGGTAGTTGCCAGAAATTTTATTAGCTTGGGAACATTTCTTCAGGGACATAATGTTCGATTCTGCCTACACCATGTTTAGCATCAAAGACAAATAAATAGTGTCCTGTTTTTACGACGACATCCCGGAAATAAAATCTGGAAAAAATGACTTTTTTTCTGGATAGCTGTAATTGTTGTAGCTTTGGTAATAAACATATTTTTTATGGTTAGTTGGGAAAGTAGGTATACGTTACGCAATGGATTTTGTCGCCTTGTAGGAGTTCCCAATCCCATCCAATCAACAAGTATTATCTTTAAAAAGGTAGTATTACAATTTATTTTATTATTGATGCCTTTTGTTTGAAAAATATTTTTGCCTATATAAAAAATATTGCATTTAAATACATGTATTTTTAAACATTCTTTTAATTAATCAAGTTCAAGGAAATGTCAAGAAGTACTAATCCATTAATGCTTTCAGCTATTCCATCATATATTGAAGTAGTTCATATGTTTTATTTAGTAATTATATGAATAGTTCCTTATTTTGAAATTCAGATAAATACAAAAGAAAAACCAAATAAATACAAGAGAAAGCTCAACAGCAACATATATCAATAATTATGTATTGTATTTTTACATATATCTCAATAGAAAGCAATTACGTATATTCAAATTACGGCAAAGGAAATATTTGTGACACCTATTTCTCCAACACTTTTCTTTCCAAAAATATTTTCCCATTTCTGAAAGAGACATTCTTTGATTGGAAGATTAAATTACTTCTTTTCAGAGACCTGTGTTCCATTGACAGTTGCAATTCAACCGGGATACGACTCATTAGTTTCGCCTTTAAAAAGAGTGTTTTTTTTTCTTATTCTTAAAAATGAAAGTAATTTCTTTTTAAAAAAATATTTCAGTTTCAAAACTGAAATCGAAATTATCAACTCGTCGTTTCTGTGTATTGAAATTCTCTTGTGAATTTCAATTTTTGTCCCGTGTTTCAATTATCCTGAGAATTAGAAGGAATACAAATGATAATGGTAAGCATCTAAAAAGTGGAAGAATATTTTATTTCGCATATTCTAGAGCATAGCGATTGAGAGTACGATTCATAACATTAAAATCATGAATTATTTCTTTGTTTAATGAAAGATTATTTTAAAATCTACAGTTTTCTGTGAAACAAAATGTAAATATAGGTTGAATTAAAAATTTAATTTATGGTATTTCAAATTTCAGTTTATAGTTGCTGATTTAAATCGATTTTTACGTAACAAAAATTTAATAAACATTTTAATTAAACAGTAAAATCTGAAATAATTTCTTTGTTTATTTAAAAATTATTTTAAAAACTACAATTTTTTATGAAGCAATAAAAAAGTTTAATTAAAAATTGAATTTATCACATTTAAATTTCAGTTTATAATTGTTGAATTTGGTCGTTTTTTAATAAAAAATTATTTAACACACATTTTAATTAAACTTACCAGTTTTGTTTTTGTTTATAATATAGAATAGTTACCACAAATGCAATTTTTTTTAAATATATAATTTTTCAAACAATTAAAAGTTCTCGATATTATAATTCAAAACAATTTCACTAATTTTTTTTTTAATTAGTAATTTATTAAAACTACAAATTATATTATTTCAATTAAATTATTTGAAAAAATTTACGCTATGTTGAATCTTTAAAATTTAAAAAAAAATATTATAACATTGACTTTTAAATAAACTTGTTTTTCAAATTAAAATTTCAGTCATTTAATTTTTACCACTGCAAATTTCAGATTTTTAAAATACCTTTTCAAACAAATGCAAATAACTAAATTTGCAATTTGTATTTACGATTGTAGAACTCTAACAATATAAGCGCAGACAAAGTTTATTTTTAGCCTTTTGGTTTAGGATATCTAAGAAGAATCTGTCACATTCAAACAAAGGAACGCTGTTCCTACTTCGCCGACGATTGTCGAAATCGACGAAACCTTTTACATCGTCCTAATAATGGACGTCATTTCGGTACTTTAACCCCTTACCTGCCGAGGAAAACTTACGAGATGCGCTCCCCAGTGCCACCGTTTTTCATACAGGCGTGCGTAGTTATGCGATGTATTGGAGAGAAAAAAGAGGTGCGTTTTGCAACATAAAACCTTTTTACTTTCACAGAAAAAATAAAATGTAAAAAAAAACAAAAATTATAAATTTAAAGTATAGAATAATAGTGTGATAAAACAGATGTTAGAACTTATCTGCTGTGTGATATTTCCTAAAACAAGAATTCTTTATTGTTTCATCTGTAAAATATGATAGGAGAAATAACCATTTATTTAAAATGTCTAAACTTGTTTTTTATAAACCAAGTTACATAAACCAAAATCAAATTCATTGCATTGATAGCTGGTTTCACGACGAAACGGAAGCAAAAGAAGAATAAAAAAAGCACGACCTACTCAAACAGAAACAGAAGCCAAAACTGCACAGCTATGACTCACCGTTTCAGAAACATCCCCTTTACCAATACCCTGTCCCTTTTCTCTGAAATAATAAAATCCTTTTCAAACATTGTCAAGGTCATTTTGTGGCATTCCAAGACCGTGGGAGCAGTTTTCTTTATAGCAGCGCAATGCAAAGGATCGTACTTCGGGAAGGCGTATATATACGCCGACGGCAGTGAACGCATCGGTTGAGTGAGGCGTATATATACACCGGCGGCAGTTAAGGGGTTAATAAAGAGTTTTTGCATACCGTACGTTAGTTACCGTAGGACGTCCGTTAGCTTTTTCTCCCTAGCGCGCATGCTCAGTTTCCTATGAGCATGCGCGCTAAGGAGAAAAAGCTAACGGACGTCCTACGGTAACTAACGTACGGTATGCAAAAACTCTCTAATATCATCACTCAGAAAGAAGTGGAAGTTCAACTCGGAAGGGCAGTGGTACATTATAAGTCAAAGCAATCCTTATGTCCAACGGCCGTACCATGCTGAATATACCGGTTCTCGTTAGATCACCGAAGTCAAGCATCATTGGGCGCGGTCAGTACTTGGGTGGGTGACCACCTGAAGAGAACACCGCGTGCCGTTGGTATAACAATTTAAAGGACCTGCATGGCCGAGGGGGTGTCTGGCGCTCGGTGCCACGATTTATTTTAAAATAAAAGGACAGTTAAAAGGGGAATACAAATTTAAAAAATCATCCACACAGGTGGGTTCACCGAAGTCAAGCATCAATCCCGGCGGTGCCATGGATGTTTGTAGTGGTTCGGAATCCACTTTAAGTTGTAGGTCCCGGTCTCCCATGACTGTAAGAGCGTCACGGACCAAAAGTCAGTCTTCTACCTACGGGTGCTCCATCACAACAGAAGCTGCTTCCTTCCCCTTCAATCATGAGTCCATATGGGCTTGTGGGCTTGGCCAGCCAAGTGGGATAAGAAACAACAACAACAACAGCAATCCTTATTTTCCAACCAAGGCTGCAGAGCATCAGGTAGCTTCAAGTATTTATTATCTTTCATGCTAGAAAATAAATAAATTTTATCAGACCAACAGTGAAACATTCATCTTGTAATTTGGTATCGCAATAAAAGGAGGGAATAAGTATTCAAACTGTAGTGGAAAATACCAAGTTTATCATAGCCGTTGTTGAATAATAAAAGTAAAAATTTCAGATGTAAAAAATATTTTATCTAATATAATGAAGAAAAATATTTATTTCTTATTTGATTACGAATTTCAGGATATACATAAAATTCCTACGGTACGTCCTACGGTAAATAACGTACGGTATGCAAAAACTCTCTAGTTTCTACCAAGTTAGAAATTAAACAAATTATATTAAACCAGCACATTCATTTTGTAGTTAGGTAATAAAAAAATATAAAATATAATTAATAAATATAAAAATTTATTTTATAAAAAAATATAAAATAAAAAATATAATTATAATTCCATAGTCCATACATACTCATGATTGAAGGGCAAGGAAGCAGCTTTTGTTGTGATGGAGCACCCGTAGGTAGAAGTCTGACTTTGGCTCCGTGACGCTTTACAGTCGTAGGAGACAGGGACCTACTGCTTAAAGTGGATTCGAACCACTACAAACATCCATGATTCGAACCCGAAACCTGTGGCACCGAGCGCCAGAGCGCTAGACACTCGGCCATTCAGGTCACAAATTTGTGAATGCCAACGGCACGCGGTGTTCCCAGGTGGTCACCGGTACTGACCGCGCCCAATGATGCTTGACTTCTTTAACGAGAACCGGTATATTCATCATGGTATGGCCGTTGGCATATAAATAAATAAATAAAAGATACGAACACAACGTACGAACGTAAATATATAAATAAACGAACAACAACGAACGTAAATATAAAAGTAAAATTTTCAGATGTAAAAAATATTTTATCTAATATAATGAAGAAAAATATTTATTTCTTATTTTATTACAAATTTCAGGATATACATAAAATTTTCTAAACTTGTTATTAAATTTTTTTTACAAAAATTTCAAGGATGTATACTCATCGGCTGTAACTGAATGATTTCAATTAAAGACCCTTCGTTACCAATTTTATTAAGTATATTATGATCCGAAAAATTAAAATTTCTCAATATTAAAATTTAAAAGTATACATTATGAGTCTGTAATCGTAAGTCTAAGTAATCCTTATTTTCTAAAAGTATGTAGAGTATCAAGTAGCATCGAATATTTATTCTCTTTCATGCTAGAAAATAAACAAATTCTATTTGGCCAGCAGTGAAAAATTCCTTTTATAATTAGGTGTCGCATTAAAAGTAGGAATGAGTATTCGAGCAGTAATGATAAATATAAAAATTTTCATAGACTTTGAGGAAAAACGAAAGTAAAAATTTCAAATGTAAACAATACTTTATTTAATATAATGAAAGAAGTATATTTAATAATTATTTTGTTACGAATTTCACGATATACATAAAAATTTCTAAATCTGTTACTGTTTCACAAATGTATATTCACTGGCTATAACTCAATGATTTAAATTAAGGCAGTTCGTTATATCTTTCTCCTGAATATCACTTTAGTAAAGGCTATGATAATCATTTACTATAATTGGTTAGCTATTTCATGAAAATGTTAATCATGTTAAAAGAAATATTTCACAATATTTTCTATAAAAATATTTAATTTAATTTGATTTAATATATTAATTAATTTTAATTTATATATTTAAATGAATTTTTGGTATTATATTTAATTTTATTTTTTCTGTAAACAAATATTTTATTTAATGTAATAAAAGAAAAAATATTTATTTCTCATTTTATTACGAATTTCACGATAAACATGAAATTTTCTAAACCTGCTACTGTTTCATGGCTGTATACTCATCGGCTATGACTCAATGAGTTAAATTAATGCAGTTAATTATATCATTTCTGAATATGAACCAGAATATCACTGTGACAACCTGTATGATAATCACTTACGATAATGGATTAGTTATTTTATGAAATTAGTCTTCATGTCGAAAGAAATATTTCACAATATTTTATGTTTTAAAGATAACAGTAAAATTCTGAAGAACATTTTTCATTTTGAAAATTTTACTTGTTGGAAACTTACTTGTAGTTTCTACTTGTTATTTGTTGGAAACTTACTTGCTTGTTTACTTGGTGTTGTATTGTCATTTCGAAATTTGGAAATTTTAAATTTGGGAATTTTAAAATGTTCTACGATTTGCGAAGAAATTCATATTTTTTTACAGCTTTATGTTATTTAATTAAAAGGAAATTCATTTAAAAAAAAATTAGTTTGGATGTTATTAAGAAATCATGAAATTTTGCAGTGTCTTTTATGGAATCACGCTTTTGCTTGAAATTATTAATTATGGGGTATGGCAAAAACTTTTTTGTATTCAGTAAGAAATTCACATGATTTTCTCATTAGGATTACTTTAGATTTGCTTTAAATTAATATATTCTAAGTTTCAACTGATATTAAATATATTATTTTTTAATTTAACTTTAAAAATATAATTCCATAACATTTAAACTAACAAACTTCTGCAGTATACATTTTTATTGTCTTTCTCAATTCATCTAGATTTAAAATACTGAAAAATAGTTTTTATATTTTGATACACATAAATCAATATTTTTTTTCAAACATTAGAATGTTGCAAAAAGAAATTATAAAACTTTAAGATACGTCTAATACAAATTTCTAGACGGTGGAATTTATCTTGAAACTGTCTATCCATGCAGCTTGAGACTAGCAATACATCCATCTAAAACTCAATAAACCCACAAGAAAATAAAACCAAATCCGTTAAAACTCTTTCTCTACAGAGAGTCGTTGAAAAGTCTAGCTTTCTAAGAAGGATTACATTCTGTGTTCCAGTAAAAGTAGAAAGAATATAAAGGGAAAAACCTCCCAAATCCCAAGAAAGCCCATAAAAAGAGTTTCAAGTGCTTACAGCTATGGGCTGGAATCATATGGAGGCAAAAAAAGCACAAAAAAACTTGACACTCATTCAGGAACAGAGAAAAATATCTGAGGCGTAGATTCTCAACTTTTCCATTCAGAGTTATTTGAGCGTGGCCTATGAATCCACTAACGCAATACTTAGTTCTCAAGAGTATAGTTGTTGAACCCAAAGTATTTTATTTCCGCACAATTTCAGTCAAAAACGTTACATTATATAGTACGATAGAGCTGTTTCAATTCGTAGTGCATTAAGAGTATCATAAAAAAATTAAAAAAAAAAAAAAAAACATATGCCAGATCGAAAATGTGGTCTGAAAAATTACACTTCTTAAAAATTTCTTGTAGATTATATATATTATAAATGAATAATATTATAAATAACCCATCATCAATAATTTCGGCAAAATAATTTTTTAAAAGGCAGAATTCCATTGAAATTTATTTAAAACAAGATTTATTAAACTCCCAATCTTTAAAAACAACATTATCACTTTTATCAATTAACAATACAAAGTCAGTGCAGAAACGAAAACTCCTCCTTTTTTTGCTCCCGACACATTCCGATATATATTGAAAAACATTAATACTTAACAGAGCTCCATGGAATCAAATTTTTTTAGAGAATCTAATAACGATGCAGTTAAACCCAAGGACGATCTTTGCTGTTAATTCCTACTTGCATGCCATTGGCTTCAACAAGTAAAGACACCTGTAAAAACATTATGATACAGCCCAATAAATTTATTGGGCTGTATCATAATGCTTTTTAACTATTTATCAATCATTTAATTATAGCAGATTTTCGTAATGATTATATTTATTAAAGTTTGGATAATTGCGATAAAATAATAAAATTTTCTAATCAGTAATAAAATAAATAACAATAATTATTATTTTATTGTTTTCCAACTTTGTTTTAATAAAGTCATACTTCTCCCTTTTTTTTTTTCTTTCGAATCATAATAAAGAAGATAATTTTAACTTTTTTCTTTCTAATCATAGTAAAGAAACTAAAATTGTGTCCGTTGTAGTAACATAAAAATAAATGGAACTATAGTAACAAGGGGTACCATCTCTTTCATATTACTGTAAAATGATAAGTATTCTGTAACAAAATATGATCGGCATATTTACCATACGTTGAATCGATTGGGCTAAATATTTTGGGTTCTGCCATGGAAAAATTTGAGTTGACAGTTAATTAATTAATTAAAATAAATAAATTGCACTATAAGTAAGTTTCTTTCAATATATTTTCAACGATACCACATGTAAAGATCTAATAATAATTACGAGAATTATTAGAATGCTCCAATTTTTTTCTGGAAGAAGTAAAGGTTGTATATATGTTACGATATTATTGTTGTAAGTGCCCATCTTTTTTGAAATATTTTTGCTAATTTTTGTTTCTTTACTATACATTTTTACACAACTAGTATTTTATCATTTAATCTTTATTAACTTAATAGTTTACCTAAATTTACGTATTGTTTTCTGGAATAACATACATTTTTTTCTTATAATAATACAAATAGTATTGCTAATATAAAGTAAACTATAAATAAAAATAATTAACTAGTTATAAATATCGTAAATACTTTAACAAACTATGCAAAAGAAAGAAAGAAAATAAAAGTAAGGTTGATTCCCTGTTGGTTAAACCTAATTTTATTGGCAACTACAAGGAAAAGTTCTGATCCATCAATTTGCTTGCGTTAAATCTCCGGGATTATTCTACTAAGAAAGACAAATCCTTCCATAAAAGAATTTTTATTTTTGCATCTTATTCTGTTCTTCATTAAAATGAGATTTAGGAGATCTTACTGCTAAATTACTTTCTAGACACTATCAGACGCTGGTTTTGCCCATTATGCTAAGCATACAGACATAAAAGAAGGGCTTCGGAATAAAATTAACATAAAATATCAAAAAGTAATACAATTTTTATAAATCTTAATTTGTTTTTCATAACGCATGGTTAGCATAAGAACAAAACCATAAAAACAATTTATTTAATCCTATACTTCTTTTTTGGTAAAATATTTTTCATTAAATTTCATAGTTACGAATTTAATGCAAAAATATGTTAGCCGATGATTATATATGCTATTAAGTAAAAGAAGGATTATATAAGCAAAATAAAAAAATGATTCTGAGAGTAAAAACTAAGGGTTAAAATATAAAATATATTTTATTAAAAAATAATTATTAATTAATTAATTAAAATTATTATTAATTACTATTTTATTATTATTATTAATTCTATTCTAATATTAGTTAATGATTATTTAACATATATTGCGGTGTTGTTTGTTGGAGCAACTCTGGATTGTGGTTGGGTTGAAACTTGAGACATAAAACTCACAGCATTATTTACACACGCACAAACAGCACATGCATACAATTAAAGACATACAATATTTAATATATTTAAAGATGTATAATTATAGATTTATGGAAGGATTCCAATTCAAAGCCTAAAATAAAAATACTCAGATACACGAAATATACTTCCTCTCCGGGTGAGAGTCTGTAGGCAACAAATATACAGAGTTGTGCAAACTTTCCTCTCGGGACATTACAAATTAAACGTGTCTCAGCGGGCGCGCAAGTTGCACTGTACTTCCTTTCGGGTGAGAGTCTCGAGCCCTACTAAACATTTCTACGGAACGCCAAAGCGGGCGCTCTTGCAGTGCGTAGGAGAAAGCACGGTTACAATATTTAAATTATTTTTTAGTGTATTCGCAATTAGAATTTCCCAATTTGACGCTATCAATCAAATGTAAGAAGTTTCTCTTTTATAAAATATATTTATATT